GCCATCATAGGAAGTCCCGCCCCCTCCCCCGTGATAAAGTGAGGTAAACACACGTCATATATGAAATAGATTGATGTTTCGCGTCACGAGCCATACCACTGTTATTATCATTAATTATTTTGCGGTACCCTTACAGTGTTCTGTGTCGTGTGGCTTGGGAACGAGAAGTCGTGACGTCACGTGCAAGACGCTGGAAACAAAACTGGTTTTGCCGTTAGAGAGCTGTAACCCTGCTTTGAAACCTAAGGAGACGGAGAAATGTAATCCAGGCCCTTGTACTGTCACATGGTTGGCGTCGAACTGGAGCGAGGTAGGATTTCAGGATTTACCTTGCTTATGAGTCGCTTAAGAGGAACCTGGGATCTTTTTGTAAACTTTCCCTTTTATTCTCTAAAAATAAATTAAAGGCTAATCAAATGGGAAAATGAAGAACAGGCAGGCTTTTGTGATCGCTAAGAGAAATGTTTAGACGCTAGCCAAGTTAAACGGCTTGCGAGAAACTTGTTTACAATATTTGCGTCATTAGAATAAGCTATTCAGCTTCTGATCAAGGTAAAAAAAAAATATCAGTAGCCGATTACTGAATAGATTTTTTGCGACGTGGGTTTAAAATCTCAACATGTATGAGCGCATTAGCGCTTTTGCCAATCAGAAATTTTGCAGTTTTTGAAAGCTAATTTCCCTTTGAATACTACACCCAAAGAGCCAAAACGTCCACCAATTACTAAGTTTTACAAGTTCTCCTACTCTGCGCATGTCGTATGTTAATGAGGTAAAATGTAAACCGTGCCGTTAGCAATAATCGCTCGCTCTATAACAATTTTTCGACGAAAAACTGCTGATTTGTTTGTTTGTTTGTTTGTTGACTTATTAGTGTTATCCAAAATGTGGCAAGGGAATGAGTACGAGGATGGTTTACTGCGTGGGCATCTCCAACAAGGAGCAGAAGTATCCGGATGAACTGTGCGATAATTCGTCTCGACCAATCAGCAAGAAGGAGTGTTTCAGTGAAGAAGTTTGCCCAGCCATGTGGCACGCGTCACAGTGGAGTAAGGTTAGAGAACGAAAAACAGTGGACACTTGAGTATGCAAGAAAAACTACCTTTCACACACTGTGTTCTTAGGTCAATGGTGACTCTCTGACTGGCCGTGTTGATTTTGATCCTCAAAGTTACGTTGCCTTACAACTGCACACTGCCAGGCTGCTCGTTATCTACAACAGAATAGACAGTGAGTAGTGCAGCCAATCAGAGAACGGCATTCGTGATAGAACACTAGTAGATTTGCACCAACTTATACTTACAAATACTCTAATAAAGGCAATCGTGCCGAGCTTTATCCTTACATTTCACGAGAATCATCGCCAACTTTACTTGCGGTTTCGGAAGTCAATAATAGTTTGTTAAGAGCTTCGCACGTGCGTGCAGTTTAGGTTTGCATGTTTATTTTATCTTTTTGTTTGTAATTTACGTTTTCCGTTCTAGAAGAGAACGAACCAAGTAAACAATATTCCAATCCATTCCTTTGCTATGATTTGTGTCAAACATTATTGAATAACTTGGTTTAAAGCTACCACATGGTGAACAACCAGTACACTTTGCGCCGAAACATTTAGTTCTTTAATTCATATTAATCCCTTGCTCTTTCAAGTACAGCTACTTGTTAATGGCCACCTTGCGTCGTGCAGTGACTAATTTCTTCTTTTTTTTTTTCAGTGCACGGCTTCCTGTGGTGCGGGCATGCAGATGAGAAATGTGATGTGTGCTAAAAAAGAGGGAGCCAAAATCCTGAGAATCTTATCCAATGATCAGTGCAACAAAGACAAGGAGATGAGTGGAGTGCAAAAGTGTTCTGTGAGACCCTGCCAGGCTGGATGGTATATATACCCCTGGGAGGAAGTGAGTCAAGCTCTTTATTTTTGCTGTTTACTTAATAACTTTAATTTTACCGTGTGACCATGTGCATGACCGTGTGACCGTGTGACCGTGTGACCGCCGTGAGACCATGTGACCGTAAGACCGTGTGACCATGTGATCGTGTGACCGTGTGACCGTGTGACCATGACCTTGTGACCGTGTAACTGCGTGACCGTGCGGCACTAAAGTTGACTAAACTTTTGCGGGGGTTTTATAATTGAGTGATTCGGCGGCTTTTTGCGTTTTGTAGAGTACATTTCTGCGTTTGGTGAGATTTTTTCTTGCAGTGATTAATTCCTGCGGTTATCATTTAGTCGCGTACAACTGGAAATACAACAGTTTTGATTCCCATACAATGATATACAGCAGTAATAAACCCGTGCAATCATTGCAGTTGAAAAACTTGTTATTCCATAGCATAATGCTCGCTCATGTTATTTTTAGCACCTGTAGTCTGCTGAAATGTATTTATATATTTTTTCTAGTTTCGGTCGCAAAGAAAATTTTGAGCCACGCGGTATATGATCTACCATAGTAAGGTCATGGAAACATGTGACTCACACAGCATACTGATACTTCTTGTTTGGTGTTGTTGCAATAGTGTTCCAAGACTTGCGGCCAAGGATTGAGGCGGAGAAGTGTGAAGTGTTTTGCTGACTCACAGGAAGACACCGAAGGAAAATGGTGTAAGACACAAGACAAACCTGCCTCGGAAGAAGTGTGTTTCGAGGAAGAGTGTAAGTGCTTGTTTGTAAATATAATATCTTTAAGTTAAATAATGTACTATTACATGTAACCAAGCGCGAAAGTTGTTGACGGGAAGTATTTGGCCGAGGTCTTGACAGTACAGCCCGAATACAGCAACGTCCGTACAAAAAAGACTGAGGGCTGATACTCCCCGTGTAGGACCTGGACGTTCCCCGGCTAGCGTACGTGGTTAATAAAAGATTTATTACACCACTGAAAATGTTTAGAAAAAAATGCTACTATTACGGACTGGAAAAACATCGCGAAAAACATCGTGAAATTCTGATTGGGAGTCGATCACGTCTTATGTTAATATAAACTGGAAAAACATCGCGAAAAACATCGTGAAATTCTGATTGGGAGTCGATCACGTCTTATGTTAATATAAACAGAACGGAAAGAGAGTTGGAAGAAAAAGAAATGGAGTCTTTTATGAGAAAACAAGTTCTTTCAGAAACGTAAGCAATAAAACTACAGAAAATTTTCAAGAGTGACCGCGAGGGATCGTTCGGGACAGTGCCCGGTCCAATACTTAGAGAATATTGCACCTGTACGTAACGAAGCAAACTGATTGGTTGAGTTTAGTTATTGGCCCTCTGAACTAACTTAGTCGTATAATAATGTTCTATCAACCAAGCGCGAAGGTTGCACACGAGAAGTATCCACCCGGGGTCTTGACAGTTTGGACTTAGCTCAACGAATTCCTTACAAAATAGACCAAGGCTCCTTCAAAGCGGATGACCCTCCACCCAAGGTAACCTCACCCCTTCCCCCAAAGAACGTTGCAATTCTGTAAACAACTTCTTACCATTTATAACGAAGGTAAGAAAAGTACTTTAACCTGTTTGACTTGTCATGGAGGGCGACTCTTCTATCAGGGAAAACTTTTCTCGTAAAAACAGTTCAGATTTTGCTTAGGGATTCGCTACCGACTCAAAAGAGTAATCTTTCCAGAACTTGTTTCAGTCTTGTTTATGCCCGGCTTCAACATTTTTTCCAATGCACGTGGTTAAAAGTACGGCTGCATGCCGCACCAACATTATCCATGATAATTTCATTTCAATTGCAGGTCCCGTTGTAACAACACCAAGAAGGACCACGATGACAACAACAATACCGACGACCACGACAACAACGACAACTGTTGCTTCTAGCACTACAGAGAGTACAACTACAGATGCGCCATCTACTCCAAGCTCTTCTACAACAGAAGCTCCTACCACTACTACCCAACACCACAGTACTACCCCACCGCCAACGACTACCCCAGCCCCTACAACTACTACCAAGCCAACCACTACCGCTCGACTATCTAGTACTACCTCACCCCCCACTACAACCTCACCCGCCACTACTACACCAGTCCCCACTACCACGACCAAACCCCTAACAACAACACGAGGATATCAACCAGCCCGGATTATGCAGCCTCCAAAGGATATAAGTAAGTAGGCTCACTGATATTATTTAAGGTACTGAATAGAGAATTGTATCCTATTAAATTTGCAGCTTTTTGTTGCTTTTCCAGCATTGTTTAGCCAAACAAAAGGCAAGTTAGTTCAAGGGGTTAAAATGTGCGGCCCCTCTAGTGTGTTATTGACTGAGCACCTTAGAAAATAGATATGTTACAAGTTAGTGAAGTGAATTTAGTTGGCGTCGATGCTCATCTCTCATTAGCATTTTACAGAGAAAAAATAGCCTTCTTCATTACGTTTTCGTTTACTGATTAGATTTGTTCTTGAAGACCCACGCAGGGTGGATAATGATGTGGAAAGTAGTTAAGGATAATTCTATTAAGACATGTTGTCTGATTGTGCCCTCGATTCTTTTCCCACTCGAGGGAAAAATAAGATTTTATAGCCATAATTATAGACATCCCTTAATAAACTAAATAATTTTTCGGATGGAATTTCAGATGTCTTTTATCGGGCAGTGAATTGAGCGAGAGAGAAAAAAATGCTTCTCTTTCCCTCAGGTTACAACAAATAAAGAGGTTTTCACTTGAGAGTCTAAAATGATTTACATTTACTTTGGTTTTGCATTTCTGCGCTAAATGATTGGCTTAAAGAAACTCGCGCCAATCTGTCAAAACCAAAACCAATTGTGACTCGCTCGCGCATGTTTTTCGGCTACATGTATCTGCTTCGAGTTTTGGTTTTTCACTCGTTCTCTGTATAACTGGGATTGTGCAGAGTGATCACATTGGTTCTGGTTTCAAGACACTCAATGGTAAACTGCTCTGACTGAACTTAAAACGATAAGCTTCATTTCACATAATTGAACTGTGGCACATTTTTTCTAATGTGAAAATGTTTCATGCATTCAGTGGCGTATGTTGGCACGGAAGTGTTGTTCCGTTGCCGAGCAACGGGCCTCCCAACTCCCGTCATCAGCTGGCGTAAAGGCTCCATACCCGTGAGCAGTCTGGAACTAGACAGAATACAGATGCTTCCCAACGGCGACCTCAGGGTAGCAAATATCACCGAGGAAGACAATGATGTGTACACGTGCATTGCAACGAACTTTGTTGGACCAATGGAAACAAAGGAAGCGCGTTTGGCTGTAATAGTCCCAGTGTCAGTCTCCGTGTCACCAAATAATGCGACCGTGAGTCCTGGTGACGATGTTGAGATCACCTGCTCATCACGTGGTACACCAAGACCAATTGTAGAGTGGTACAAAGACGATAGCTTTATCAGAGGTCAAGGCAGAATGAGAGTATCAAGGACTAGTGTCATTATTACACAAGTACAGCCCTCTGACAGTGGTTACTATCAATGCCAAGCCCGTCACAACTATGGCTCGGCCAGCGACAAAATGTATTTGAACGTCATCGATAAAAAAGGTAACGTTACAGCAATTTTTTTATTACTATTATTGTATTTTGTAAACGTATTTATCAATTTTTTTGCTCTTTTCTCGTTCCTTTGAGATCCACACACATGTGCGTTTGAGCGAAATCGTCAAGAATGTTCATTCTGGGTTCCTGTCCCATGAATTCCATTTCCTCAGAAACGAATGGTTATAGAAGAAACGCCAAATGACCTTTTCGGTTTGGAAACTTGGAAACAAGCCGTTCAGTAAGCTAGCTATTCGCATAAACCAGTTCGCGTTTTACATGAGAAACCGTGTTCGACGGTGGATTCTGTGACGCTCTGTGTTTTTGAGGTGTCTAAAAACAACGGAAAACCCTTTCTTAGAAAAATCGCTTTATTGAACATGTTACTGTGCATAGTTAAGGGTCGAAATTGAATGTTGGGGTGCATGGCAAAAAAACCTTCATATAACAAACATCCTTTAAACGAATTTCCTAAACGTTCTTTCCAGTTCCCAAGTGCTGCATTATATTCTCCTACACTGACTCGAAATTGGCTTGTTTGAGAATACCAACATCGCTGTCCACTGGGGGAGGGACCCCAATATAAAAACGACGGGGGGTGCTCGTCAGAAAATTTGCAAAGAACTCCAAAGAGGTACCAAGATGCTGGTTTGTGGGCGTGACTTGAAATTTCTTTCACCCTAATACCAATTTTAAAACAACACATTATCTCCTGTCCAAGTTTTTCGACTCAATACCCTAAAAGATACCGCAAAAGCTCCTTAGGGGGGACCGATAGCGCTTTTTTAACCCCTAAAAGGTACGACGCGGACCCCCGTCCTTTTTATTTGTGGGTCCCCCCGCCGGGAGAAGCTGCCATGACGTTATGTCGAAACCTTCTCTCCAAAAAATCGCAATAGAAATCCTATAATGTATATAAATTGACAATAATAAGTTTAATGATAATAGCTTGATTTCTTGTTTTCTTTTTCTGTGTTTTGTAGAGCCTACTGAACCTCCGTTTAAATGCGAAGACAATCCATACATTGCTCATTGCCAAGTTGTTCGACAAGTTAACTACTGTTGCATCCCTTATTACCAGAAAGCTTGTTGTAAAACCTGCGAAGATCTTCTGCCAGACTGTAATAATTAAAATTGCCCGAAGGATTATTTCAGATCATCCTTCTGCAGTCCCTTTTGCATAACGAAACAGTCTGCCCATGCCAAGTCTAAGGAGGCGCGCCACTTTAAAACTGCCACTAAACTGTTTTGAGCACCAAAACCTGTTACGGCAAGAAGAGCTGCATTATACTTCTTTCGTATTACTTGCTACATATAAACCACTAGATCGATAATATACAGAGCAAAAAACATCCGAACCACTGACTGGGAAAGTGCTTTGCGTCAGGTTCGAGTAAAACCTTTTTTCTCTCTTTTATCGATCTCTGGGAAGCAAAGCACTTCAGAATTTTAGTTAAACTCCCTTTACATCAGCTTTAAAACACGTTTTTGTTTACCAAAGTATTGTTACTGTTGTCATGCGTTTTTATGAGATTGCAAACTCCATTTAAGAAATATCACAGCTAGCCACGGGTACATCAAGGATATTCTGACAAGTGGGGTTGTAAGTATGACCGCGAAAGTTGAGACCTCAGAGGTAATCTCCGCTCCAGAACAACACAAATACAACGACTTCTTTTCAGCGGATAGGAGGAGGTTTGTAGCAATACACTACTCGCCTCCCCTACCCTCTGATCAATTAGAGGATGAGGCCAGGGTGCTTTTTTACGCTGACTGAATAGCCTTTGATGATGCCCTTTTGTTTGCAAACCGAAAATTTTATAAAAATAGCTTTCTTCTCAACCTCCCCATAAGTTGCTAACGTCTATCGCATGTTGTAATAAGCTTGATTTGTAATACTTAGCCACAGTTGGTATATTCCTTGTATAAAGTATAACAACAGAAGTGGTTTTTAGGGTCAGCTGAAGAGCGAGTGTCGCTAATAGATCAATTTTGATATTTTAAAATTCAGCCTAAAACAATAGACCTCAGCGCGAGGCTCCAGGGAATCTATGCAGTTATTCCCCGGAGCCTAGTGCTGAGGTCTATTGTTTTAATATATCGAAATTGGTCTATTGTATAACACACATGTCCAGGCCCCGCGCAACTCTCCCTTGCTTGGTGAAGGTCTGTTCCCAGGGGTTTTGGGTAGTAATAGTGACGACATTTCACGACCAAACTAAGAGAATTCAAACGGCTGAAACCCAACCAACTAATGACAAATGGCTTGAAATCTTAACTGACTAATCGTATTACCTTGACCAAGATATCGTTGCTGATACATAAACTAACAAATTGAGAACATTTAGCGGACAATCTTGAAGTTAGGTTGCGTGACTCAGAAGTTTACAGCTCCGTCACTTGCTCTTCGTTGAACCCGACAAAACCGCCTGTCTTGAAGAGAAATATTCAATAACCCTTATTTAATCTTAGTGTATACGTTTTTCAAATAAACATCTACGAAAAAAAATATTGGGAGTTCTTGTGCATTTCTCCAGGTTAACTGTTGCCGAGTACTTAGAATCCCTGGGGAGACTCCCATTATAAGAAGGACGGGGGGGTTTGGGGCAGTCGTAATGTGATGACCGCCTGAGAAGTCTTTCCGCCCTGAGGTAAAAAAGCGCGCACGCCCAGAGCAGGCTGTCATGAGCAAATAGGACCTCTTAAGCTGCGGGAAAACGTCACAGGGAGGAACTCCCATAAAAAAAGGACGGGTGTGCTCGTCGGAAATTTTGAAAAGAACCGAACCCCGAAGAGGTATCGGGATCCTGTTTTGTGGGCTTGGCTTGAAATGTTTTTCATCCGTAGCTGAGAGGCACCAATTCTAAAACAACACATCATCTCCTGTCATTTTTTTTTTCGGCTCAATACCCTGAAACGTACCGCAAAAGGTCCCGCTGGGGACCTTTTGAGGCTGAACATCTTAAGAGGTACCAAAACCAACACGCTTCCTTTTTTGGGAGTTGCCACCACCACCGGGACAAACGTTTTGAGACGGTTTTGCAAATCGAACGCGAATGTTTTCCAATAAAGAACCGTACTTTCCTAACGATGAAAAAGTTAAACATATTTTTCATCGATAGCCAGCCCCGTATCCCTCCGTCAATGCTGAAGCATGCTTTGTCGACGCTATTACGCGGTCACCGTATTGGAAAGAGAAGAGGATGAAGAGTTATGAGGGATGGATATAGGTCTAGGGTTAAAGGTGAAAGTTTATTTTCCGTCAGGCTCAGTTTAGATTTTCTTTGACTGTGGGTACTAACTCGTTTACCATACAGTTTGTCGAGGACCTTGCTGCATACTAATCCTTTATTCCAAGCTGATTTTGGTAATTGCTAATGACTCCTTGTAACGCAATGTTTCAGCCTTGAAAAGCAAATATTTCGTCTCGCATGACGTGCAGTTGACAACCAATCAAAGAAACAATATTTTAATTAACGGACAATAATATCGTTTGTGGTTACAACAGGCTACTGTTCCGCACTTATAATATTACCACAGGAATTACACCGGAATTTTGCACAGGAACGTTTCAAATAGAAACTGCTGACAACTTTCAGTAAAAACCCTGAGTTGCTCAGGAATAAGCGTGACGTAATAAGAAATGTTGTTTTTACGCAAATTGTGGTGTGCATGTTGGTGCCACGTCCACAACTTTCTCGTTCCTCGAAACGCTGCGGAAATTTAGATTTGTAACCATTTCTAGCTAATTCTTGCAGATCAGATCAATCTAGTGTCACGCTCCCTAGTCACGCTTTACGCACATTGAGGACTATTGAGAAAGCAGGGACAACGAAACACGTTTTATCCACCAGAGCGTTTGATCTTTTATCTATATTATAATTTTAGCGCCTAATATTTTATAACTTGATGAAAAATAGAGAAAGCTTCGAGAAGAAAAAAAGAGCTGAGCAGGTGTTAATCAGTTTGGCAGAGCTCAGCTAGTTTCGAATGCGTGTCACGTTATTCTAAAAATAACGTTGTTGTTGTTGCCTTGAATCGTGCGCTGTTTCTCGTGTATAGATTCATCTGAACATTTTCTGCCTTATGACAACAAGAAAGCACATCGGAGAGAAGTTGTTGAACACAAAAAGCGTTCAAGAGTCTATCGACTCCTTGCCAATCTCGTTCCATGCTCAGTTTTTCTGTAAACTAACTATGCGTAAACGTGCTGACAAAAGTGACGTAATGTAGCCCAAAATACTTTTAGTGCACACAGCACTATAAAACTGAGTTTCTCTATCACGTTGTTCTTACTTTCTGTAGCCACGTTGTTGGTAGTCGTTGATACCTAGAGTTTAAATCATGGCTGGAAGGTTTGGGCTCGTGCAGAAGCAAAATGGTTCAAAAGTTCCTTTGGAGAGCATCGAGATTCAAGTCGATGTTCAGGGATTCACCGCACACGTGTCGGCGACCATGAAATACACGAACAAGAATGAAAATCCTATTGAAGCCATTTACATTTTCCCATTAGACGAGCAAGCAGCTGTGTGTGGATTTCAAGCGACAATTGACGGTCGAACCATTGTAGCAGAAGTGCAAGAAAAGCAGGAAGCTCGAGATACCTATGACGACGCCATTAGCAGCGGTCAAAGTGCTTTTCTACTGGAGGAAAGCGACGAAAGCTCGGACATTTTCCAAATAAGCGTTGGGAACTTGCCGCCCAAGAAGGAAGCTATCATAGAACTGCGTTTTGTAACAGAACTCGCTGTGGAGAAGGAAGGCCGAGTCGTGTTTGTCTTGCCGACAGTTTTGAATCCGAGGTACTCCCCACAAGACAGTGCAGCGAGTCTTAGCACCCAAATCCCAAGAGCAGCAGCAGTGGATTCACCATACTCGTTTGAGTTCGAGATGAAAGTGAAAGCAATCTCGGCCATTAGCGAGATTTCTTCCTCGTCCAACGCCTTAATTGTCGAGATAGATGGCAATGATCAAAGCCAAGCCAAAGTAAAGCTGGCCGAGGCGCACAAGTTCAACAAAGATGTCGAGGTTCACATTTTGACCCGCGAACCTTTTAAGCCACAAGCGATTTTGGAGAACGGAGCGAAAATAGAAGGAAGGGAAGATAAAGAAGGCTTCATGGCAAGCCCTGTCGTGATGCTGAATTTCTTCCCGGAATTTAAAACTTCAGAATCGTCGGATAAAGGCGAATTTGTGTTCGTGGTTGATCGGAGTGGAAGCATGAGTGGAAGCAAAATCAACAGCGCCAGAGAAACGCTGCTTCTGTTCTTAAAGAGTCTGCCCGATGGCTGCTACTTTAATGTGGTGGGGTTTGGAAGCAGCGACAGGACTCTGTTTAAAGAGAGCACATTGTACAATGATGAAAATTTGAAGGAAGCCACCCAGCTGGCAGAGACCATGCAAGCTGATCTCGGTGGTACAGAAATCCTGGCCCCTTTGCAGTGGGTGTTCTCTCAGCCTCTGGTCAAAGGTCACCCGAGGCAGCTGTTCCTTTTGACCGATGGGGAAGTTGGAAATACTCAGCAGGTTATAGATCTGGTGCAAAAGAACTCCAAATCTGCAAGGTATGGCTTTCCTGAAAAATATTAAATGGACCAGTTCAAACCCGGCATAGTCAGTTGAATGTTCGGAAATCAAACTCAATCAAACTCAATTGAACTCAATCTGTGGATTGAGTCCGATTGAGTTTGGCAATTGAA